ATGACTGACTTTTTTAAATTGAAATTCCACTATGCCGCTATGTGGCACGCATAAGGTGTAATCTTTTGTTTCTTTCCCAAGAGTGGTACTCGATTATCAGTATTAAAGGAAGAAAGGCGACTGCTCCGATGAGGGCCCTAACGCGGGATCTTTCGGTTTTGATCTTCTACCGAGTGAGTGACAGTAATCACTGAAAGTTAAGTTAAGTCCTAAATGCTGATGCAACACTTCTCTAGAAGAGATTATTTTCTCTACGGCTATACAGCAGGGTACCTGCCTTACGGAGGACCACTTGAAACTCATTCAGAGTCGAAGTGCCTGCATTACATACCTTAATCTCCTCACTTTTTCTAAACGTAAACGGTTTTCGGCGTGACATATCACACTCTATGTGATTCCTACATTTTCATTTCCGGCACAGGCACAGGCAATCATCAGGTTGCGATGCTACTCTCTGTCTTAGCCCCTTTGACTACACCATGTTCTCTGCGGTTGAGAAAGGCTGATAACATCAGCCGAAACTTTGATTCTATAGCAAAACCATTCTGTCACGTGCAATTTGCATGAAGTCATATCTTACTGATGAATCAACGAAGTAAAATGCTGAAACGGATATATTATTTTATGCTGTCATTTTTTACTTCCGTTTACTAGTTAATTTTATAACAAATACCAAAAGCATTATTTTCAATGCGCACTCGATTGTAAACTGCTGTATTAACTATTGCAACTGCTTGTTCGTTAATTTTGGAGTTGGTATGGTGCAAAGGCAAAGACGGAGTTAACGAGACAAATTTTCCTAATACTGAACAGCTGAGGCAATATCAGTTCGGCTTAGAATTCTATAACGTAACCAAAATTCTCCAAAACACATCGTCGTCTATTTTCACGATTTCCCTGAGTGCTAATATTTCAAAACCTAATTCAACCTATTTTCAAAGCTGTCAAACTTTGTTATGCATTTGTTTATTCATCGTCTACGTCATCGCATGTTTTACAACCTTCTGTACTCTACTGCTGAATTGTATACTGTATCCTTGTATTGTGAAAAATTTCTCTGGTGATGACTAGTGTGTTAGAAGCTGAAATGTCGATATGTGATATCTTACGTCACGCCAAAAGCCATTTGCAGTGAGAAAAGGAGGGAAGCTTTATGCGCTTGGAACGTAATAAAAATGATATTCTGAAAATAATACTTTAATGTCGTTCAGTTCCTTGTCAATTTCAGCGAGGAACGCGGTGGCAGATGCAGAAGAGTACCGCGACAGCGAAATCTTTGCCACATTCCAACCGAGTTGTCGAAAACTACTCGCAAGCATTGCTAAAACCACAGGCACGGTCGCGGCTAAAATCTAAAGACTTAGATCGTGTCGAGTTTCAATAGACAAGTGTGGTTTAGGTATCCGAAGTCGAAAACCGCTAGGCAGTTAAAGGCAACAAAAATAAAACATTCATTTTACTCGATCATACGCATAAGAACGAATAAAAAGCTGCCAATCGTTTTACACTTCTTCGATCTTCGGCTTCGACGACTTCTTTTCCAAGGTCATTCTCAACTTCAGGCGTTTTTTCGGTGCAGCAGAGCTGCTTCGCTGCCGCTCAATTTCTTGAACAGCGGTGGACAGCTCAAGGCAACTGTCGTCGCTTCTTTCGAACAAGACTTCTTCTTGCCCGGGGTCGGTAGCAGAAGGCATCATGGTTTTGTCATCATCAGATTCTGACTCCGAAGAGGAACTGTAGTCAGAATCAGGGCCATCGAGCATGCTTCCAGGAACGACATACAAGTTCTAAAATATAATCAGAAATGATACCAAAACATATTATATACAGGAACATGATTAGATCCAGAATACTAAATTTTTGTTCGAGAAAAAACCAAACATATGAAATACTTACTAAATAACAAATAATAGTTAAAAATACAAGTTGCTGAAGAACAGTATGATTTAATGGATTCAGATATGGTAAGTTCACTCACAAAAAAACAGAAAGTGAGCATGTTGACGTAATCAAACGGGCAGCGGCATTTACTAACGTTCTACAAATACCACCTTAAGCAGTAGCGAAAGTGTAGGACTCCATGAGAAGACGAAGAAATATGGAATTGAACAGAGCTGCCAGGCAATCACGGAGACTTGGTAAGAAAGTGTCAGCATAATGAAAAGAATAGCATATTAAATGCAGTATATTTGCTTATACCTTTATCTATCCATATTCACGTATATATTACTTCGTCAGTTCATATCGTGCCGAAGGATTCTGCTGTCACGAATTCAGAACGAAAGGAATGGAAAACCACTGCTAACATTTACTGCTAAACAGATCATTGAGTTTATATCGAAACATTCAGGCATTACCTTATTGAGGCTCTGGGGAAAAGTCCACGCGATGTTGGGAAGGAGATGCCGCGAAAAATTAGCTGACTCAAGATACAAGAAAAGGAGCGTAGCTTAAGCCACACCGAAATAAGTCTTACCAGATTTTCGCCTTACGACAGATTGTTGAAAAACTGTTGAAGTTCTATTATCTGATTTATGTGCTCTTTGAACCTAGAGAAAGCTTATCACAGGATAGTGAGCAACAAGCTGCGGTCGTGCCTACAAACATATGCGATTGATGGCCAGTTGATACGAACAATCCAGTCAGCATATGTTTCTAGCAGGTGCTTCGTCAGAATGAATGGAGTTAATTCGAGACCTTTCAGCGTCGGCAAGAGTATCGACGAAAGTTCCGTTCTGTCCCCTCTCCTTCTCGCGTTGCAAATGTAACAGGATAGTCAGGCGCCGTCAAGAAGACGAGTGTATTAGCGTAGAAGTCGTGGTAAGACAAGGTTGCTGATTGCCAAGGACCTTGCTCATCTTAAATCTTCTGAAACTGACCTCTAGCAGCCGCCTCTGAAAAGGTTCGCAGCCGAGTGCGATGTGGCAGACATGCGTGTACACGTGCCTAAAAAAACACCTAGTGTTTTTTTCTATCTTCTGTCAATTGCTCTCTTTTGACAAACGCAGAAGCAGTAGAGCAGGTGGAAACGGGCAGAAAAAAATCTCCCGGCGAATTGGAATAGTCAGCGGCTTTCTGTGCGTATTAGACTGAAAAGGGCACTAAAACAGAGTTGAGTCAAAAAATCAAGTAGATTTTCACCAGATGCTTACACATGACGACGAGTCGTGAGCCGTGACAAAACAACTTCAATAACAGGTTCAAGGGATTAAAATGGCTAACGCGTCTCGATACGGTTCGATGGTCAGATGCCCGCGTGAGCGTTGGTGCAGTACAGATGTTGTTTTTGCAGACTGAGAAGTCACATCAGCTACAATTGTTTGAACATATTCTTCGAATGCTTTCAGAAAGCAATGCAAAACAACCACTTGCCTGACCGATCACTCAGACCCCTAAGATGGCCGAGAATGACCTTTGCCAAGTGCCCCGACCAACTGTGCTCCAGACTAGGGCTATCTTTTGTCTAAGCTCAAACGCTCATTGCAGACAGAATGTTGAAGAAACTGTCTAAGGGTCTACCACCGTTATCTGAACAATCACCAAAACTGACTGCCTGATCGGCAGACAAGCAAATCCACAACATAAACCTAAATACTGGTTGGACTTTTAATAATTTTATCATTTATTTTTATCTTCACCTTCCATCGCCCCCTTCCTTTCGGGTCGCGGACGCAGACACGTCAGACAGTGCTTGCAACGAACCCGATTCTGTGCCAGAGTCTGATCTTAGGCAAAAGACAAATGCAGTCTAGAACAGATTCCTTCCATATGTTTGCACCAGGTTAATCTTGGCCGTCCC